TGCAGAGCTACCGGGATTTAAAAATAGTTACGCAAAACAGAGTGTGCCCGCTCCGACCGGTTCTAAAGGGTTAAACCTTGTACTTGAAGCTTTAATATTTTTATTGATAAGTTGAAATTGTGTTACAAACAAATGCTATTTTTCTATTTATATAAAACTGTTAATTATTAATAGTACAGTTAAACATATTTTATTGATTTATAAATGTACATTTTAAAAACAAAACGTGGCAATGTATGAGTCTGAAGAAGTGAAACACAACACTGACTCACACACTTGTAATCATGTATAACTCTTATTATTGTGTCATAAATGTTTCCTGTGTGCTCTGCAGTTTCTTACAGTATATACAGTATTGGTATCGGTCTGATCCTGACCTAAATTCCAGGATTGGATATCAGGGAGAAACAAAAAATGTAACCCGATCCTTAAATATCTCAAAAGCACCTCACAAAACTTGTGACATGGCGTAACCCAGGTAGTGAGTGGTACCTTAGCATGTCGGAGCAGTATGTATCACATGATAGAGCAGCTGTTGCGTGCGAGATCTGTCGGCTGTCTGGAGTTACTTCACACTGAAAGCATCTGGAGACTCGTTACGTGCTGCCAAACCAGCATTTCATCTTTGAGCAAGCTATCCCAAAGAAGTAAAGCAAGTATGTAAGTTCATCTCTGAATGTTTATAAAGCATTCCTATGTTAAGCTTAACAACCGGTATATGGAGCTCGGACGTCTGTGCGATGTCATTGCTAAGTCTGATTTTACAATGGATAGACTCAAGTTTTACTTTGAGAAAAACTAACTAACTAACTAACCCTAACCCGTCGAAAGGGGAGGGGCCGGCTGCTCCCAAATAGAGCACATTTCATTCATAATGTTGTAAATCCAAGCCCATTATGTATTCACGATCTGAATACTGGGTTGTGTGAAATCCCAGAAATACACCTTAGACAAAGTGAATCTGTGAACTGGGGTGTAGGTCTATTAGGTTATGTTGTGGCAATCCTCGGGTTGGGGGATGGGTGTTCATACTGGAGTGCAAAATTAAAACCAATGGAAGATGGACAAGAAAAGTTCAAAGCCATCAGGTGCTCAGTTTAGAAAAAATAGTAAAGAAGAGGAAGAGAAACGAGCAAAAGATACAGGTAAGCAGATGTGTCATTGGATAATGGCAGGTCATCCTGAAACAATCAGAATCAGAATACTTTATTAATCCCTAAGGAAATTATGTGGATTTCAGTTGCTCCAAAAAGAAATGGTAAAAACAGTAACAGACTAAACTCCATTATGTTACAGATTTTAATATTAATTAGTCATTGTCAGTTGCTGATTTGTCCTGTTCTCATTGTATGACGAATTATGATGGCTGTTTGGTAGCTGTTTGCATACTATGCATACTCTCTCTCTCTTTATATATGTGTGTGTGTGCAGTGGCAGTCCTAGCCTGTTTGGCGCCCTGGGCGAACACTCCCTCTGGCGCCCCCCCCCCCCCCCCCCCCCCCCCACACACACACACACACACACACAAAACAAGGATTGTACATTAACATAAAACTGTTGTACACACACACATATGAAGAGAGAGAGAGTATGCATAGTACCACAGTTTGTAGATGCACATTTGGATGGATTGGTGAACTTCTGCCTGTCTTTAATTCTGAGAAACTCTCTCCAAAGTCCTCTTTTTATACACAGTTTATACTCAGTAGGTCAGTCATGTTACTGACTTACTGCCAATTAACCTCTAAATGTTCCTCCAGCTGATTTGCTTTAGTACCACTGACTTTTCTAGCCTTTTGCTGCCTGAATACAAATCATTGAATTTTGTTTTTATTGACCAAACCAGAATGAGAATGTTAAAATTTACGATGTTGACTGGGAACTGCAGTTAAAGGTAATATTGTTGGGTGGGAGTATAAGTTCAAATGGCTGGTTTATTTATCAGCGGTGGTCTACCATTAGGTCAGCTCTTTCATGTTAGATTTGAGGATCAGCAGTGATGTAAATAACCAAAATAAATGAGAATCATGAATGTTAAAAATATAGATATTTTTTTTAATAATAGAATAACATCACTTCTATCCTGGGCAGGTTTACCTTACTCAACCACTTTGATTTCTCAGTAAAACAAACAAAAAAACAAACAAACAAACAAACAAACAAAAAATATTTCTGACACATTTACTTGTTCATCAAGAAATTAACAAAAAAGTGATCTAGAGAAACACCTTTTCGTGCTGCAGGACAGTGGTTTCATGGTCAGTATTTAACCCTTTGAGGTCCTCACCAAGAAAAAAGCAATGGAAATGGTTTTGTTTCCATTTCTTATTGATTTGGGTGACTAATCAATATTTAATAATATATTTAATAATATATTTAATAATATACAATCAATATTTCTTTTTTCAATAGACCCTTTAGTTTTTAAAATATTGATTTCTACCAAACAGTTGAGATGTCCATCTATGGTAAAAGTATGAAATGTCATGCAAATACAAGTACATTAGATAATACAGTTGAGAAAAAATCAAATAAAGTGCCGAATTATAATTAAATTAATAACAAAACTATCCAGGCCATTGGATAAAGTTTATTTCTAGTAGCATGCCAGTGAACACTGCTGTTTCCATGCCATCAAATGAAAGTATTATATCAAACAACAAAATACATAGTTTTTTCATCTGCAAATGTGAAAGATGTGCTACAGCACAAAATACTCTCATTCAGGCCACTTCTGATTGAAAGCTACTGTGCAAAAATGAGTTTTGTGTTTAAAATAGAATAGTGCAAATCAAGCACATCTGCTTGTGGTTTTGGTCGTTGGGGTCTTAGGGTGTAGCATTTATTCTGTGGTCTTGGAGAGCTGGATCATGGTTGTCCAACTCTAGATGCTGGCTTGTTAACTTGGTTCAGACACAGCCAGGTGGAAACCTTTTGAGAGCCATCGGTTTCTGGTCCGGTAGGGCACAGTCCCTCTTGTGGACCAGGTATTCAAGTCAAGGATGTATCCAAACAGTGTAATATGCCATCTCCTTAACTTTTAACTTGTAACTTGTCTTGTACAGGTGCAATAGAATATCAGAAAGTTTAATTCCTCCCATATGCTAATTATATACAGGGATGAGTGATGGGCATGGAATGGTGATCTGATGATGTTTAGGAGGTTGACACATTTCTTGTCAAACCATTGCATTGCAATCAGACCTTGATCAGCCTGTAATAACAGGCTTCATGGCCCTTCTTCATCAGGTCTTTGTCTGCCATCAGGGGAGCTCCACCGGTGCAGTTTGGTCATACAGTACCAATGCACCTGACACCCAAGGAGGTGTGCAAGTTCTGGACCAAGCTGAAACTTGTGAAGAACTGCGGTTCTTTTATGGGGTTGCATAGTGGTTTTTTTTTTACAACTTTGGCCCCTTACAGGTAGCTTCTGTTCCTTTTCACTCAGGGGAGCATTGAAGAATGTAGACCCCCCTTGATACAGCAGCAAGTTGTGGATGATACCAGATGAACTTGCTTGGCAGAACAATTTAAAGCCACACTCATCTGGTTTGTTGGCAATATATTGGTGGAGAGTGCCAGCCCTTGTTGCTTCATATGAAACCATGACCTCAAACACACTGTGGTTGAAGGTGGGTGATATCATCAGAATCATCAGAAAGTTACAAAAATGACTTACTGAGGAAATTATTTCAGCCTATTCTTGCTGTGCTAACACTTAATGTGATTTATCAATAGCAATGGATAAACAAAATGGGTCTAGTGGTCTGATTTTATGGCAAATAGTCAATTTTAATAACATTTAGGTTATGTTAGCATTAGCACCACAAAGGGACAAATCAACCTTTTGTTTGACCACTTTTTAAAAAAAATATTAAACATTTAATTTCACTTTTTTAATGCTGTCAAGTGACATACATCTGTTTAGTAAGTCCTCCAACACTATCATATATCAAAAAATGTTATCTTCCTACCTTAGTTTTATTGGGAGAGGGATAAGCAGAGCCAACAGTTTCCATTTGCAGTGCCTTCTGATGGATTTTTTTGGCATTACAGATGTAAACCAATTGGTAGAAAAGACTCAATAAGGTAGGTCAATTTCAGTGAAAGCCTCAGTTAGATATAGGGCCTGAAAATGTGCTCTACCAATTGGTTGACCAGAACACTAAAGGGTTTTAAACAGTGTACAGTGACATCAATGTGTTGATGCATGTAAGTAAGCACACAGGTGAAATGTTATGTTTATTGTGGTTCAAAGACATTAATTAAAAATCTATACATGTGTTTAGTCATGGATCATGTTTAGAGTCGCCCATTCCAGAGATCACGAGTCTGCTGAACACACAAATCAGCTGCTTCTTACTCCATCAGAAAGAACCAGGATTAGGATCAGGATCCTGCCTTATTCATTGGAAAACAGAGTATGATCTGGATAAAGACACACAGAGCCAATAAGAAACTCATTATCCACATCAGGACAACTGGTCTCGATCAAACATCAACAAGAATGATTTCAGTGAAGTCCCCAGTGTAAAAGCATGGACAATGTCTGCTCTGAAAAACTGGTCTGAACTGGTGTGAAATCCCTCAACTCTGAGAAGGAGATGCCTGAGGCCTGAAGCATCTGAGGCTGTCTAAATAAGAGACTAATATCTAATCAGAGGACAGCAGATAAAGTATAGAGTTCAGAAAAATACACATGTGATTGTGGTAATCGTAATTAGCTTCAAATGCAATATTAGAATTAACAAATGTAATTAAAGCTCAGACTCAGGCCCTTTAGATGGAGAGCCAATCCTGACCTCTTATACAGGGATAGCTGGGATCTATCACATCTGACTGCAGCAGTGAAATTAGACTGGGGCCTAAATATGGACTTAAAATGTCTGAACTTCTGAGAAACTAAATTCACTAGCTGAAAGTGAATATAGAACACAAACAGGCTAACAAAAAGGCTGACATAAACGCTTGCCAAATGGTCTGTGAATGTGAGTCCTAGTCTAACCTCGGGCCTTCCACCAGTAGAGAAAAAATCCAGCCAGAAGTAAGATCAGACCCAGGGTCAGTATAGAGGCTCCAATAGCAATCAGCATGCTTGAGTCAGGTGTTGATTTATCTGAGGACGGCTCTGAGTCAGACAGGTGACAGATAGAGGCCAACAGTCAAACAGACAGGTTAGCAGTCAAATACATATTTCTGTGGACAGACAGACAGGTATTTACCCCAGTCAGTGATCAGAGGTTCCTTCAGGCTGGCATGCTCCACCACACAGGAGATGTTCTCTCCAGACCTTTCAACACAAAGACCACTGATTCACAAACCACTCACAGAATGGATCCGGAAATGAACCAGGATCTGATGTGGACTGACCTGGGTGTGTACTCCAGGTAGGAGTGAGTCTGGTAGTACCAATCGCCATTTGGCATCTCTTGAGTGGAAGTGACATCAGAGGTGACCTTTTGTCCATCTCTGAGCCAGCTTACTTTGATCTTCCTGGGAAAGAAGTTGTAGACGCTGCAGACCAACATAGCAGGATGTTGACCAGAAAGCGGAGTCTTGGACTTAATTCTCACACTGGGCCGAACTAAAAACCACACAGACATTATATTTCCATTGTGGCAATATTATGTGTAATGGGATAGAATCATCTGTAATCTACCTACAGAAAATGTGTTAGCTGTCAGAGTAAAGGCATGATTTCCTCTGTTTGTAATTAAACAAATTAGAAATGCAAATTTCAAATCAATTTTATTTATATTGCTCCAAATTACAACAGTTGCCTATTGTAAAAATTGTATTTTATGTAATTTATTGTAAAATCCCTACATTAATATAAGGAAATAAGAAAAAAAATGCAACAATCATATGACCCCTATGAGCAAGAGTTTTGGTGAGAAAACTGAAGGCTCTCCCTCACATTCTACTTTTAAATACTCTAGGAATGACAAGTAAGCCTGCAGTGCGAGAGCGAAGTGCCTAATGGCATGATATGGCACTGTAAAGTCATTAAGATAAGATGAGGTTATTATTGAGGAGCAGGATTTTAAATTAAATTCTGGATTTAACAGGAAGCCACTGAAGGGAAGCCAATACAGGAGAAATATGCTTTCTCTTTCTAATTCATAATTTCTAATATCATAATTTTATTAATATCGTATTTTTACTACTTCCTTTATTACACCCTAAGCTCATGAATAATTTATTGGGGTCATAAATCACTCTGTTTGACATAAGGGGCATAATATCACTCTCTCGAATGAACTAGTTTTTCAGCGTCACTCTGAGACAGGATATTTCTAATTTTAGAGATGTTGCACAAATGGAAAAAAGCAGTCCTACATATTTGTTTAATAAGTGTATTGAAGGACATCCTGGTAAAAAAAATGACACTTTTTTTCAAATTGCAATTATTAATTAACACTAACAGTATCAGGAAGCAAATGCTTCCTGGCCATCCAGTGAAACTGTTGGGAAGACAGCGTTGGAGAAACATGAACATTTTATTTATACTGTATAATCTGCAGATTCTGACAGAAATCTGCAACTATCCTTTGAAGCACCACTCCTCTCTAAAACAGCAATAAGGATAATTATTAGGTTATTTACATTATTATGTAAATAACAAAATAACTTAAAGCAAAAATTGGGAAACGTAAAGTCCGAAGTCTTTATATTAAGGGCCATCAGTCAAACAATACTGTTGCTCTGGGTCTAAACAGAGCGCGTTGTGTGTGACGTCTTCTTTTGCACATGCGGGCCTCTTTAAGGGTTCACACGAGAGCGTTTGCTGTCGCATTTTATTTGTAGTGTGAACAAGCAGACAAAAAAATCGGATTTGAAGAAGCTCAAGTTTTGCCACCAGCATTCAATGCAAGCTGTATTTACACAAATATTTGTTAAATCATCTTCTACTTTTTAACTTCTAATTAAAGTTTTAATTAATCCTGAAATAATTTAATAAAAAACTTTTCATTGTTAAAAAACTTTGTTTCTTGAATTTTAAAGAAACAGAACTCCAGTAGACTCCAAATTTCTAAACAAATTTAAACCTTCAGGAGTTTAAGGATTAAACTGAGTGATTCAGAGTGTTGGTTGCTGTGTGGCTGAACATGATGCCCTGATGATGTTGCGCAACTACACACTCACCTGACTTAGCTAGAACAGCCCGATCATGAACATCAATGTTATGGTAACAATATTGCACTACCATTTGTCTCATTGAATTCAGCCGTGCAGTATTATTGTTCCAGAGCATTGCCAGCTCCACTCCATGCTCAGTGAATCCAACATACTTCCCCTCACTGCTGCTGAACCTGATGTACTCTATCTTCTTGTAATAGCGAGAGTAGATGTACTCGATGTGCTTCAGCGCAGTGGAGTTAAATTCACAGCGTTCCACCCTATACTCTAAAAATCCATCTGAAGAACAAAACAGAACATCAGTGAAGTGCAGACTGTGGAGAACTGATCATACCTGTATAATACCTGTATAATAGATGATAAAGTATAAACTGTATGTTATATTGATGAGTCTATTGATCAATGAACCATGTATTGATCAACAATATACAGACCAAAGATGGATGTATTGATTGGTAATAGTGTGTTGATCAGTGCATTGATCATACCTGCAGTGCGGATGCTGATGAAGAGGAGGGTGAAGCAGAGAAAAGATGAAGCCATGTTCCTGAGTGCTCTTAACAAACTGCCTCAGTCTGACTGAGAGCTGCTTTAAAAGCCAGATGACATAGTCACTTGATCACAGCATCACCTGTTAATAGGAAGAACTTTCTCAGAAAGGTTTCATCTGTAGTTTATAACCCCCCCCTGCCACACCCCTTTTTTCTCTAGCTAATGCAGTCCTAGGTATTAATGCGACTGAGGACTGAGGCTGTTCAGATGGAAACACTGTGACTTATTTGTTCAGATAAAGATAAACTAAATACAAAATGATTTGGCTTTTATAAAGTGTAATATTATCTATCGTTAAGCAAATATACTGGAACCAGCAGGTTCATCATGTTCATTAGTCAAAGTAAACTTTATCGCTACATACAGTATCATTATTGATGACAGTACGTGTTAGACAAAGTAAAGTTTGAATTTGTTTGAAGACCTGAAACATTTAAGTGTGATAAACACATCAACAGTATTTTCATGATTGATTATGGTGATTTACTCGGAGGTCAGAACCACATCTCTAACTCTGGAACTGCATGAGCCTGTGGACATCAGTTAAGCTGTTAATGAACCTGCAGTCAGCTGAGACTGAATAAATTACATGGATGAGTGATGAAATCTTTCTCCCACTGAAAACATCACATCCAGATGAACAGAATCAACTTTTTGAAATTTTCTTACCTGGATGACTGAGCATGTATCAAGACATTATTGATCAGTTCTACAGATCTTTAATCAGTGATTCTACAGTAAATGATTCCGAGGAGCCGACTGACAGTGTAAAAGCTTCATTACTGTCCACAGACTCATGCAGTTACAGAGTTAGACATTTGATCTGACCTCAAGGTAAATCACAAGTGAAAAAGTGTTTGCCCCCTTCCTGATTTTTTTTCTGTATTTTTATATTAATATGATGTGACTGTGAAAAAAAAATCAGTAACTAATTACTTACGGTTCCAAAAAAGTAATCCTGTTACTTTCTGATTACTTGTTTTCAAAAGTAATTAATTGCTTAGTTAGTTACTTTTTAAAAACATGACACACAAGCTGAATAGGTAATAAAGCAATAATTACCTGCATAATCCATCATATAAAATGTAATCAAATGAAAAAGTTTCTTTTTAAAACTTGCTTTATTAGTTTTAGTCTTTTAACTTTATGCATCAAGCAAAAATTAAATTAAATGCAACAGTCTTTGACTTGAAGAAATTTGTTTAACATTTAAACCTATATTCTGCACATTCCAGCATATAAAATAAAACATTTTTTTTGCGTTTACACTGACTCTTTCAAATAGATGCAAGTAAAACACAGCAGAAAATCAATAAATACCAAGACTCAGCGGCACTAAGCCCTGTTGCTCTTCAATCTATTTTCACCTGTATAGCAGGAGTGGGGTAGGCGGAGGTTTGCCCTGGTGCAGGTGTGCTGCAGCGGTCATGTTAGTGGAAGGATCCGGGAGTTTCTCTGTGAATTTCACATTCCTGTGGCAGCGTACTTGGTGCTTGCTCAGAAGTTTATGGGTTTTTTTCGCTGTAGAAAGAAGTTTTCAGTGTATAGCGGACACTAATGTTTTTGTCACTTTTTATGAAACAAACTCAAAGTAAGGTCAGTACTTCCATGCTTTAAAGGCGGCACAGTCATACTCTCTCCCGCACTCGATATATAATCCATTGTTGATCTGCACAAGTCTGTTACCACGAATGTCACACATGCTAATATCATTGTCGTGAGACAAGCTTTAGCTTGGCACACACCTGGGGAACACAGCCGAACAGAATCTATCTGACGAGACAGGACAGGCAAACCGGAATATGAAGCACACGGAATAAGGGACTGCCAAAATTACAGTTTAGCAATGCAGTAACGCAGCGTGCTTACTGGAAAGTAACAGTAATCTAATTACCTTTATTGCAATAGTAATCCCTTACTTTACTTGTTACTTGAAAAAAGTAATCGGTTTACAGTTACTGCCCATCTCTGGTGGTGAATCACATCTTCCAGCTTCACTTAGTCCAACATTTACTGTCATCTGTTACAATAAACATGATGAACGTGCTGGTTCCAGTATCTCTGCTTTACTGATCATCCAAAACAGAAAATAATATCACACTTTATAGAAGCCAAATCATGTTGTATTTGGTTTATCTTTATCTGAACAAATGGGTCATATGTTTCAATTTGAACAGTCCAAAAACTTTGGACCACATATTGCTACCAGCTTAATCCTCGGTCACATTAACACCTGGCACTGCATTAGCTAGAGAAGAAAGGGATTAATTGATTGATTGATTGATTGATTGATTGACTCATTCATTCATTCATTGATTCATTGATTGATTCACTGATTGATTGATTGATTGATTGATTGATTGACTCATTCATTGATTCATTGATTCATTGATTGATTCATTGATTCACTGATTGATTGATTGATTGATTGATTGATTGATTGATTGATTGATTGATTGATTGATTGATTGATTGATCGTACTTTATTCATCCCGAGGGATGTGGCAGGGTGGTGTGATAAACTATCCAAAAAACCTCTGTGAGAGTTCTTCCTGTTAACAGGTGATGCTGTGGTCACGTGACTCTACACAGTAAAAAATGAGTGTCAGTTTTGCAGAGTTGATTTCAACTCTGTTTCAAATAACCTTTTGTCCCACTCAAAATTAGAGTAAAATTTACTCCAGGGCCAGTCTTAACTTTTTAGTTTTTAACTCCTCTCAATTTGGTGTCGAAATGAATAATGAAATGTTCGGAGAAATAAGATTACACTTTACACAGCTTGTTTTTTTACTACAAATGCAGTTTAATAATAACACACTAATGTGTAATAATATTTCACTTCTATTTCTCTGTAGTGTAATTTTTTATATTCATCATATTCAGTTCATCATCATCAGGTTGTCAACATTAAAGACAACTAAATCTTGCTTTGTCCTTTGTCAACTCATAGGCATAGGAATGCTTTTGAAAGGCTACTGCACATGATGGCAAATTGAGCAGCACTGGTTTCTCATGTATTATCAAAACTTACTCAATCTGGTAAAACAGAGGCATCAGACACTACTTTAACATTGTTTATCCCTTTTACATTCAGAGAGACATACTTTAAATCACTCATTGCAGGATCTGGTTATTTAAATCATGTAGAGTGGTAGCAACAGTAAAAGTATCAGCCTCATAAATTAACTTATAAGAAAGACTCCAAACACATGAATCATGATTCACAAGCCCAACTGACTCCCTGACTCATCCCTGTTGGTGTTAGCAAACTAATTTCATTAGAAGAAATATATCTAGCTTATAATTAAAATTGTGGAGAAAAACACGAAGTATCCAGTATCTTAACAAAAACATTTCTGCTCTGTACTGGAAGAAAAAACCCTGAGTAGAAACTCACATCAACGGTGCAAGTTAGGCGCACCGGCACAAAAGTTAGGCGCACTCAAATATTTCAACCGCATCGCTTAAAACCGCAGTTTTACATGTGCACTTTTTTGGAGGGGAAATTGCAGTCCATACAGACAATATTCATTTGTAAATTATTAACTAACAATCTTGTACTTAAAGTGCTTTGGCAATATTGTAGACAATGTTAAACTTAATCATCACATCAGCCTCCTCTGACGACCTGTTTGCTGTTGCATGCTGCTGAAAGGCAGTGGGGAGAGGGGGCACTTGGGCAGTGCATTTATTGCAGCATATAATGTGTTTTCTGGATACACTGTGTTTTTTCAGCATTCAAAGATTAATGGCACTGTGTCAGAGCTGGCTATGAACTTCAGACGGATCAGGCCTTAACTTAACAAAAAAGTTATCAATAGTTATTTTCATCTTTTCTTATTACCCACAGCTACATCCACTTCTGTCGGGCCTCACTAGGGCTGGGTATCATCACTGATTTCAATAATCCATTCGATTCTGGTTCTCAAAGTCCTGATTCGATTCAATTTAGCCTCAGACTGTCAGAAATATTATAATTCTCATCATTTATCAGTACTGATGTATGTGAGACTTCATCAGAATTGTGAACATCACAGCAGATGCTTTTGTGTCAAAGTAACTGAGAATAAAACACAGAAAAACAAGAAGGAGATTTTCTGGCCTGGCCTTTTATAGCAGATAACCTTAAAAATATTCTATAATTTTGCATAATTTTAAAAAGTTTATTTTTCTTCAGTATTGAACAGCAGAAACTATGCTTTCTTGTCCGAGGTCATTTAAGTGAAAAAAAAAAGAAAAGAAAAGAAAAATACAGCGGCCGACAGCGCTGTAATCAACGGTAGACTGTTGGGTAATAAGCGAATGAATAATGCAGAAAACAGATTTGAGACGGGAAACTGTTCTTGAAGTACAGAGAGAGAGAGAGAGAGCTAGCTGTGCATGAAGTGTGATTTTTATCGTGGTGGAAGCAAAACAGCAAAAGTCAGAGGGAATTCATGACGACATTTATCAAATGTGAAGCGTAGTTTGCTGCTTCTTTTGCTGCTGGCTCGGTGAATTTTGGTTGGAGAGAGACAAAACCTGCAGCTCAGAATCAGCGCAAAAAGACGTGAACACAGAGTTCCGACAGCGTGTCCGTCTACGGGCCGTCGGGTGAGAAAGCCGAGAAAGACAAAGTTGATTCTGTTGCGTCGGGTCCGTTCTGTGTTTACGTCTTTGTGTGGAATCCGTGTACCTGCTCTCATTTGCTGTTTGGTGGTTGTTGAAATAGTTTTGTGAGCTTTAATCTGAGAATCTGGCGTTTCTGGCAAAATACTTTTATGTTTAAAAGTCGATTCAGGATTTAATGAATCGACATTGCCTTATTCTAGTGATGTGTCAATTGCGAACGAAACGGCTCTTAGAGTCTTTGAAGTGAATGACACGAGCCTTTTTTTTTCTTTCTCTCACCCTCAGGAGGGAAAGAGAGAGAAAGAGAGCCAGGGACAACAATGTCACACTAGAAAGGTAATAATCCAGAACTATTTTCAGTTGCAGATGATTCAGAAGGATTCAGAAGGTTTATTCATGCAGGCCCATATGACAGAGAATGTGCATCTTCTTTTTGTTTTCATATTTTAATTTATATTTAATTGTGTTGTGGTTTGCAGTGTTTTGTGTTGTTTCACTTTAAATTTCACAGCCAATCAGAGAAGTCCCGCCCCTGACTATCTCTGATTGGTTTAGTCCAGGATAGGGGCATAATGTGTGTCTGTTGTTCTTCCAGGTGACTATTAGATATCCCACATTGCAATGCAGTAGTGAAACACATAGCACTTCTGGACAGTGAGTGAGGCAGCTGAGATCTAAGATCAATAAATCTTAAATCTAAGTGGATAATATTTCTCTTTGCTAGAAGTGTTATTTATTGCTGCATATTACCCTTTACTAAACAAATAGTTTGGTCTTTTAGGTTGCACTCATCCAGCAGATCACACATGTATCATTCAGCTGATACTGATTATTAATGAAATATAACAAAACAAAAAACTGACTCATGTTTACAGGTGAGGATTTATTTCAAATTCAGGTTTATTTATATCTGTCTGAATCATATAGATGGAACTGAAGGCAAAGATAGTCAACAGATAAAACTGAGTTTAAAAAAACGTAAAAAGGCAGATGGATTGTTTCAGACTGACTATGAAGTCCTTTTTGGATAGCTTTCTGATTGGTTAATATTACTTGTCATTTTTATGTTACTGGCATTTTAAACTGAATCTGTTTAACAGTGTGAAAATAAAGTGAACTTAAGGCTCCATGTAAACACAGCCAGGGTCACATGAATGAAGATCAGAGAGCAGAGCAGCATCCTTAAACGACATTGTCTACACAAGCACTGTGGTTGATGATGTCTGTGGTTGACATCATCAACCACAGACGATCAGATGCATTTGTTTGCTTTGAGGATGAAGAAGGTTCCACCTGCAGCACAGAGCACGCCGATAATCATACCGAGTCCACAGAACACTGCAGGTCCAAGGCTGGGCTTATGTTTCTCAGGCGTCTCAGGTGTGTCCACATCTGGAGGCAGAAACAGACACATGACACAGACACAATCGTTCAGACTTAATCGTTCTGATTAATTACAGCTCAATAATGTGAACTGCATGAGCTGAAAACTGTCAGCTCATTAACTAAAGTTAGCTGTTCAGGTGAATACTCAGCCAAGGCTTTGTGAAATCTGCAGACAGAAACACGAAGACATGAAACTTCATAATTATGCACTATTGTCTCTGTATTTCAGTCTGTCTCCTCTGTTTAAATAAAAGTGTTTCTCACTATAGATCTTGATCAGTGGTTTGGTCAGACCCAGATGTTCCACTGTACAGCTGTAGACGTCTCCCTGCTTTGGGATGAACTGCAGTCTGGCGATCTGGGTGAAGGTTCCATTTTTGTTGGGATAGGGATTGTTGATGCTGGATCCTCCAGTCGTAATCTGTCCATTCTTGGTCCAGGAGACTTTGACAGGAGCAGGATAGAAACCAGTCACATGACAGACCAAAGTGTTTTTAGCTCTGAGCTCCACCTCGTTTCTGGTGTAGATCGTCACACCTGAAGGAGCATCTATACACAAACACAAGTCAGTTCGATGATGGTCAAGGAATCCGCAGAGTAGAATATCTCTTGTCTTAATCTTAGATAAGTTACTCCCTCAATGAGCCTGTCAGGTCTATCAGCATGGAAACACAACAGCGTTTTCAATAAAGAAACTTCAATGAGAATATACATGTGATAAAATACCAAACAGTCATATGGCAGTGAAATGGTCAGTGGGACCCATATAGAACCTCCTGCTCTAAAACCTGAAATGAAAATCTTGAGCTTTTGGAACTTGAAAGTGTTGAAGAAAATCTTCAAAACAAATAAATGTAGAGGTTTGTGAGTTAGTAATGGTTTGTACTGGGAAAGTATGGAACATACAGTAAGATGGACACCCCTATGTCAGCCAAATATATAATTTGTGTAATATACTTGGATATTTATACTTGAGCTATTTTTATATTTTGTAACTTTGTAATATGTTGTAATATTTAACTTAGTTTAGTCTGCTACTGTTCTCACTGTCTTGGAGAAAGTGCGACCACGTAATTTCTTCTGGGAATAATAAAGTATTCTGATTCTGGTTTATGAAACCCACCACACACCACATCATTTATAACCTAACCTCATTAATCACGTGACACTGATGACAACATTTACATCAAAGTAAATTTAATTCCCTATTTTAGTTGATTAATGTAGATTGAATGTTGTTATCAGTTTGTGTGTGCCTGTATGTGTTTACCACGTTGTGGAGGGAAGTCCTTCATAGCCGTCTCACTAAGCTGCAGGAACTGTCTGCAGCCATATAAATTAGCCACGGCGATTTTATAAGCTTCATCTCCGAAGCTGATGGGTTGAACAAAAGGTGGCTGAGGATAAACATCCATCTGTTTCTCAAAGTCTGCGTACCAAAGTTCTTCACGATTCAGTCCAAACATGACCCCTCCATGAATGTATGAACAGCCAACGACATGGATGTCTGTATGTAGAGCTGAAACACATTAATGCAATTAAATGCTGATATTCTGATCAATAAGCAGCTGACTGTCTGTCAGTTTAAAGAGAGAAACTCACCATCAGCAGAGCCCCAGAGCACATAGGAGAGGAAGAGCAGCAGCTCCTTCATCTTCATCAGCAGTTCTCACTGACGAATAGAGTTAAACTGTGACTGTATGAAGTCTCTGAGTGAACTGGCAGAAAGTGCAGCAGCAGGTGAGCTCTAACACACACACAGCCAATCACAGAGCTCACAGCTCGTGATGTGATACAGCCTCTTAGAAATAAACATTCCTGTTCTCTGTAAGTCATTGTGTGATTTAAAACAAATACATCAAAGAGACTTTATTTGTATCATGTAGACAATACTTTGCAAATTTTGAACTAAAACTTTTTAAATATATTTCTGTAAAATAAAAACTAAATTGTAATGTTTAAAGTCATTTAGAGTTTTCAGATTGAATCATCTCAAGCATCAGACACATCAGAAAAAAATCAGATGTGTCTGATTTTACATTTCTTAGATTATTTGTAAAAGATGACTGATTCATGAGGTAACATGTATTCATGTGCAGCTAATATGCAGATAAGGACTTTACTTAGATAACAGATCAGTGTATAAAATTTGAGATGTAGTTTAAGATTAAAGAACTGAATTAAAAGTGTTTCACTCACTTCCATCATAATAAATGTTGATGTGTCTACTCTGTCCCTACCCCTTAGAACTTTATGGACTCCCATTTTCCTCCGAGATAAGACAGGTTTCTTCTTATAGTGATTAAAATGTATTTACTTTATTAAGTGTAAAAACAAACATGTGTTTAGATCACAGACTGTACATAAAAGATGGATGTAGTCACTGTGGTGTTACTGGTTCATTTCTGGAATTAACATAAACAGATGTCAGCAGAATTAGAGATTATCAAGAAGGGCATGACGAGATGATTCTGAACAGGTGTCGAAGGACAACGCCACCTGGGACTATAGAAATAATTTCAAAGAAAGATAGAGATAAGCAAATGAAGCCAAACGCCCAAGCCTTCACTGCATTTGCAAGGCAAGAGGCTTGGGATTTTGCTTTGCAAATTAGCTTTTCACTTACTTCCATACATCAGGCCCTGATGACTCACCACTGCTAACTGTGGAAGAAATTCTGGATCAATTGATAGGCTCAGACAGTAAAAAAAGATGGAACATGCATCGCTTTTTTGGAAAGGCTGCATGAGAAAGCCTCCTCTCTTTAATAACAAGCAGCATCTGAAAAATGATCTGCTGTAATAGAGTTATGTGAAAAAAGTATTTGCCCCTTACTCATTTCTTAGTTTTTGCATATTTGTCACATTTAGATGTTTCATATCATTAAAAATATACACTTTAAAAAATAACCCTAGTAAGAAAAATGTGCAGTTATTAAATTATATTTAATTTATTAAGAAAAAGCTTCAGTTTAAATGCAACACCCAGGCCTCATCACTGCCACACCTACTGATTCAGAAATCAATTAATTGGAGAATTTGTATCGGAATTGCAGGAGCAGGACCACGCCTCCAAACACGCTCCTTCCAGTTGTCATCTATATAAGTTCCCCCAGTTCTGCAAGCTGTTCATTCTCGTTTACGTGCCCGACCCTCCCTCCTTGTTTTCAATACTTTAACTTCTTCACTTTTATTTAGTGCATGGAGATCTGCAAGGCCCAGGAGCCATCGCCAGTCCCCTTAAGGCCTTTCCCAAACCACAACTCAATTCATGTCCAAGCATTCACCTTTACCTACTAAAACGCTATTAAGCCTAACATGAGGACGTGGCCCAGCTAGTGAAACAGAATCTGTTTGACAAAGTGAAACAGTATAAATATCTCAACACCTCAGCACATCATGTCATAATCTAAAAAATCAACTGAGAAACAAGGTTAGTGACAGCCATCACTCTGAAAGGGTTTCTAAGGCTCAATGACAGCCATCATCCACTTAAGTAGAAAACCTGGAACAGTGCTGGAACTTCCCAAGAGTTGCCAGCCTACCAAAATTACTCCAAGAGTTCAGCTATGACTCAGCCAGGAGTTTACAGAAGAACCCAGGACAACATCTAGTGCCTACAGGCCTCACTGGTTCAGTTAAGGTCAGAGAGAGAAAGTACTCTCTCTGGCCTTAATTGAACTGAGTGTACTTTATTTTCCTATGACTGTATTAACTAGCATTAAAAGTGACAACTACTTTCTACAGTAGCAGGCAACATGGAGGCTGTTAAGCGGCTTCCATGAAATACAACATGGCTATTCAACTATTTTTTCCAATACTGGTAGATCATCACATTATACAGATACGTGGGTTACAGTTAACACACTGCTCTTTTTTTAGCTGTTTGACAACATGAACAATGCTAATGAAGCACCAGAAGTTGACTGCAGTTCCCTTAATCAATTGAACCCCAATGGATTTTCTGAGGTTCCTGCTTGAAATTTATATTCCTGAATGAAAAGAGTACTTCTCTGTAATACTCATTCTGTAATTCATTTCAGTTTTCTGTGGTTACACAGTTCCTTGAAACTAAACAATGTAAGCGCGTTACAATGTTTTAGCACTGTTTATTTGAGGTGGGCTCCATTGCAGAGTGGAATCAGTTGGGTTAGGTTTTATTTCAAAAATGTGACAATGTTTGAGAAACGTGGTAAGATGGAGGATTCTTTATTTTTTTTCTGACTAAATGAGATAAAACAGTGACACGGGTCAAACAAGTTGTTAATTATTCTTTTCCCAATAGTTTTAAGTTGGTTTGTTGTTATCATATCCTTGTGACCAGAGTTTGTCTTTACTGATGTGTTTTCTTTATGTTTGAATGATTTCAAAAGTTCAAAATTTTTATCGTACACCGATGATAGTCTGATATAATTGTATAAATTCATGCAAAACACCTCAGATACCCCTGAAGCTGCTGAGCAAAAAGAAACACTAAAAATACATACAGACAGGATTCAAAACTCTTCATTCAAGTACCAAATGAATCAAGGACAATTTGGTCACATTTCGCAGTATTTCACTAACACTACAGAATAAATATGATTCAGGACAAAATTAATTAAAGCCTTGGTTTACTTGAAGTTTGAGATGATAGCATATTCACTGAATTTGCTTTAGCACACAATTACTTTTTACTCAATTTTTAAGAGTAAAACAGTCAAACTTTGATTAAACATTTATAGATGAGTTCAGCGATTCACAGTCTGTGAAAGACTCTGCACTAATCTGAACAATGCTAATGAAGCACCAGGAAGTTTACTGCAGTTCCCTTTATTTATTCTCTTTATTTATTTCCTTCATTTATTTCCTTGTTCTGTGGTCACACAGTTCCTTCAGTCTACACAATGTAAGCACGTTATATCCCACATCATTTTAATTTCGTCTAAAATCTAACTAGTGTACAACATTAGACATCAGTCAACCTTACATTTATACTTTTCTCATCATCAGTCACACAGGACACAAAACAATGCTTCTTGTTGTGAGCTGGGATAGGCTCCCTCCACTTTTACAACATGAACTGTAAAAGCAGAGAAGCGATATAACATACTGGTCTTTTTGAAGCAGAAAGAAAAAAGATCAGCACATGATTGAAGCTGTTGAATGCTCACCATCTTATTGTTTTATTTTATGATGATTATTGAGAGCAGTCTGACTGAATTTCCTGGTTTTCAGTCCTCAGAGTGTGTTATGTAAACAGCAACAACATCTACATCAACATCTTAAGTCAAATGATAAAAAAAACAATGTGATGCTGATTGTATAATGTGGTGAAAATAAAGATGTAAGCAGTTTCTTCCTCAGCTGAATCATAATACTTTTTTAATCCAGAGAAAGTAAAGTAATGAGAGAGTTAGAACGAATAGAATAGAATAATCCTTTAATTTAATTTAATTGAAATTTGGTGTAACACAGCAAGACAGACACATATACAAACAAACAGTACACAAGACACAGTACAGAAAAAATACACAATTTTTACATATGTACATGAAGGACAATGGTTACTAAAAAGTGAGTACTGTACTGTTATTAAATTAAATAAATTAATACAGATAAGAGGGCCTCTTTGCTTAGGCTGCTGCCCCGCGACCCGGCTCGGATAAAGCGGATGAAGATGGATGGACAGATAAGAGGCAAACCCTGGTTGTAGAGTGAATCGGTTGATAAAATAGTGCAAGGTACAGCGCTGATGTAAACATCTATGATTGTTGGAGCAGTTTTGATTGTACAGTCTGACAGCTGCAGGGAGTAAGGACTGCGGAAACGCTCCTTCATGCATCTAGGATGCAGCAGTCCTGTCACTGAAGGAGCTCTGCAGTTCAGCAACATTTACATGCATGGGGTGGAGACTCTGTCCATCAGAGATGTTATTTTGGCCAGAGTCCTTCTGTCTCCCACCACCTGCACTGGGTCCAGGGTGCATCCCAGAACAGAGCTGGCCTTCCTGATGAGTTTATCCAACCTCTTCCTCTCAGCTGCAGATAAACCGCTGCTACAACATACAACACTGTAAGAAATGACAGATGCCACCACAGAGTCATAGAAGGTCTTTAAAATCGCTCCTGTACTCCAAATGACCTCAGCCGCCTCAGCAGGGAGAGTCTGCTCTGACCCTTCCTGTAAAGAGCATCAGTGTTGTGGCTCCAGTCCAATTTATTATTCAGGTGAACACCCAGGTACCTATACGAGTCCACTATCTCAATGTCCACTCCCTGGATGTTCACCGGTGTCAGTGTGGTAGGTTTGCGTCTCCGGAAATCCACCACCAACTCCTTGGTTTTCCTGGCGTTGATCAGCAGGTGGTTCTGCTGGCACCAGTCCACAAAGTCCAGAGTCCACTGTCTGTACTCTGTGATGAGGCCGACTATGGCAGAGTGGTCAGAGAACTTCTGTAGGTGGCGGCATGGGGAGATAAAGTAAAAACAAAATAATCCAGTATATTACAAAATATTACAAATTCAAGCACTTGACATTTTTGTTACATTATACAAATTCGTCATGAATTCTCTCTTACTTTAGCTGTCTTACTTCCACAACAATAAAATCGCTCTTTGCACACAACTCTAGCTCTCAGTATACTTTAAGACCATTTCCTGTCAAGAATTCATGGTGCCTTATTTGCTCTGTTATCTACCGTTGTGTACAGTGTTG